CACTTTTCATCATTTTCAAGTGAATATGGACTGAACTGTAAGACATCTCCTGAGTCCATTTCATAACGTAGAACCCTGAATTTATTCTCATATGAAAGAGTGAATTATATTTTACGTAATCCAATGGCAAAGAGCAATTTACCAGTTGAGAGTCTTTCAGAAATGATCCCTAAAAAACCAATTATCTTAGAATACATTTTTAAGAAAGGGTGGATACAACAGGAAGAAAGTTCAGCGCGAAATTTTTAACACAGGCTACTACATTTAAAAGCGCAGGTTAACTCTCATAAAATGGCTGGTCATTGGCTGAAATAATATTTACTGCGAATGCCGACCGGGCGGAGGCGTGAGCATTGTCTGGCTGTTAGAAGTAGGTTTGACGAGAGATATTCATAACATATTGTAGATGGTGGACTAGCGAACGCCGATCGTTGGGAGATGTGAGCGTTGCCTTTGATTCAAGGTTAAAAAAGACGAATTGGTTGTTCTTATCAACAGACTATGTGGCTGTATGGACGAAGAGGACGCTAAGTATTGCTCAGAACATGAAAAGTCTTCACACAAAATATCTGCTACCACCAAAAATCAGTATTTTAAGCACGTTCTTGAATAAAATGATTTTTTGGTGAGAAGCATATGTGATCAGAATGCTTCTATGATAAAGATTCTACAAACAACGTTGAAAACTAATGACTTGACACCACCACCTGCTGGCTCATTAAACAATCTATCGTCTGGTGGACATTCGCCTAACGATACAATGAATTTAAGACCATCGACATACCAGTGTCAGTCAACAGTATCGTTTTCTCAACCTGCAACACAAAAGCGTATTATTAAATTGACAGTGTTTGGCGACAGTACCATTACACATTTGAATGCAAGCCACATTCATGTACCTGGTCGTTCCACTGTCCAGTTCCGCTCTGGTTGTTCAAATTTTGATCATCTATCAAGTCAAGTTCTTCATGATAAACTGAAAACGGATATAACGAGCTATTCCCTGGTTGTAGTAGGAACAAATAATTTATCATCGCGGGACACCGTTGATACAACCATCGACAAACTGAAGCTCTTCGTTTCAATTTTTAAAGAAAAATACAGTGACAAAAAGCTCATCATTGCTACCGTCCCACTACGTCGACATATCGGTCTGAAGAAAGACGTTGATTCACTACACGATGATATTGAAAAATATAACACCGACTACGATCACTGTCAGAAAGCGAAGATTTTTCATTGATAAAATTTGATTTCAGTGACGATCATTTTGACAAAGATGGTATCCATCCCAGTCCAGCTGGGCGCAAACTGATGGAATCTCGTATCAAAATGGTGTTGAATGAAATGTATAATATTTAGTATGGAGTTGAAGAACCGTCGTGTGGCTAACAAACTCGTCTCTTCTACTACCTCTACGAATACCAATCCTCGTACTCCACCACCATCGCATACATCGTCTTCTTTTTTGTTAACCAACCATAATATTGAAGGCCTAGTATGTAACATTTTCTCATTGAGACAGTTTGTAGACCAACAAAAGTCACATGTACTTTGTATCCAAGAGACATTCTTGACATTGGACAATGACGATGCCGAGTTTGCCATTGTGAGCTACTCCGCATACAGGCAAGACCGTATTCGAAAGGACGCGTATCATCCCGAGGAGTGATAGTTTATGTTTCAAATCTGTTATCTCACTCACTACTTGCGTCCGATCCCATCACTGAATCGGTTGTTGTAAAAATCCGTTATAGTTCTTCAGTTTTTTTGTATGCTGCTCTTATCGGTGTCCCACGGCGAGACGTGAGTTTTTTCCAGCAACTTATGACTACTTTGCGAACTAGATCATTTTTTGTTAAATTTATCTCCTTAGCCTATTGATCAATTAATTTTAGCTGGCGATTTTAACAGTGATCCAGATTGAGCAGTGTTCCATAAAGACATTTTATTTTTCTAGACCTTACACACAACAGAGCTCCGTATGAACTCAAAATTCTGAGTCCAGTCCGGTCGATGCACTGAAAAATTCTAGTCCAGTCCAGTCCGAGTCCATGAAAAACAGTTTTTTCAGTCCTGTAAAAAGGTAGTCCAGCCCAGTCCACAGCAGAAAAACAACATGCTTTTCCTCAGTTCAAGTGAATCCAAAATTTTTTTCGACTCCAGACCAGTCCATGGTCTTGAAAATTTGAGTCCAGTCCAGGCCAAGTCCATGAACTCAAAAAAGTTTCAGTCCAGTCCATACGGAGCTCTGATACACAGTCTAGACAATGCAAATAAAGAATTCGTTCCAAGTAGGGTTGTGCATTCATATTTCGGTTTCTTGAATACAGCTAAGAGAAACAAACGTACAGTACTTTTTTGCCGATGCAAGGCTTGGATCTACTTTCCTTTATAGTTGCTATACAACATTCACTCTTACGATCATACCCAAGCAGAAAAAATAATCGTGAAGCGGACGCCTGCAGCTACCTGACCCAACTTTTATCTCCCCAAAGCTAGCTTAAGTGAGTTGAAGAAGCGTTTGAATCGGGCGCTAATCGCTCAATTAAGCGCCTACTAGTTCACCCGCTTGGAGCTAGCAAGTGGGCACTTGCTCGGCGCAGCTAGCTATTTGAGCCAAAAAAATCTACGATTAAGCGGCCGCCTGAGTTAATTGATAAGTTAGATTCCCTTGTGTACTCTTTTCTGCCGGTGTATCTCCAAATGGATCTCGTGCAAGACCGAGATGAAGTCTCAAGTAGTATTCAGTCTGTTAGGCCCGCGAGCCCGAGTGAACAAAGTATGTATAGTTGCTAGCATTTTGACTCAAGTAATAAGGGTCTTTTATGATTGTCTGAAAAGGGCTGATAGTTAGAACAGAAAGCTCTGACACAAAATACAAACACCGCTAACTTTGGAATATAAAAAGCTGATGACGATTTTCCTTCCTTTGGTTTTTATGACAAGAAAACCAGAAGTATTAACAGTGAATAAATTCCGCAAGAATTGTGAGGAAATAACTTTTTAGTCAATTATTGCCTCCCTCTCGTATGCTTTTCTTCAGTAGAGGCAGAATAGTGAAAACGTTACATTATCAAATTTTTTTACACAAACTTCTAAATCAAGATTGTCTAAGGATTTCCGGGCAAACCGAGTTGCGCATCTCACATTCTTAACTGATTTCTGAGATTTTGGTGTAACTATATCTCTAAGTCGACTTCTTGATAACAAATGAAATGATACTTTCATCTTAGCATGTTTATTTCAAACATGTGTTATATGTTTATATGTTTACAGATGTGAATAGAATTGCTTGTACTTATTTTGAGCTCAAATTTTAACTAATTTTGAGATATATTGCATCATGTTCCCGAAGAGAAAACCGGGTAAAACACGGTGAAATCAGAATCCTAACTGTCATAAGAAAATTCATTCAAGATGAGTTTTCTTGTCCATAAAAGTTGTGCTTTTCAGTGTTCTTGTGGCAAGAAAACGAGCTTTCAAGAGATGAAAAAATAAGATTTCTACCTTTCTTAAGGCCAAGAAAGAAGTATAAAAGAAGTTTTTCGGAGGATTTTTTTTTTGTCATTAGAGAATCTTTATGGCGAGACTTGATTGCATTATGTTCTCGAAGAAAAGTCCGAGTAAAACATGATATAATCAGGGCTGAAAAAGTATATTCGAATATGCAAGATGCAGATTATGTCTAATCTTTCTTGTACTAAGTCGTTGAACTTTCTGAGAAATGCGCACGGCTTACTTGAAATCATACGTATAATTGATTGATTCATGGTAAAATCTTCGGTCCTGAGGGAACTGAAAATGAGTTCTTCAGTATTTTAGTTCCCTATGGGATCTTTGATCTTATCCCATGAGTATTTTTTCGGTTCCAAAACCGCAGGCAAACGCGTTTTCTTGCCAAAAAACCTTCTAAATCGCGGTCCTGTTATTCCAAACTGCGTTTTGTTAGAACACTGCGGTTAACCAACGCACACAGTTGCTCGCGATTTGAATTTATAATCGCGATTTCATTAGTAAGAATCGCGTTTTTGGCATTGAGCTGTGATCAACTGCGTTGATTTATTAATCGCGTTGTACGCAAACCACGAACAGAATGCGGTTTTCCCCGTTATAATCGCGGTTTTTCGAACTTGCGATTAGTCGTAGTTCAAGAAGACACGCGATTTTACTGCGATCGTAAGAAGAGATACGATCGCTCTATTCAAAATCTCGCGTTGTGGTTCAACTGCGGTTCATCACAGTTTTATGCAAAACGCGGTCATTTGCGATTGGAATACAAATGTGCGTTTTCTACCATTAAAAGTGCGGTTTTCGAATAATCTCGATTAATCTCGGTTATTGAAAAATATATCGTTGTCCGCAGTTTACGTAACAAATGCAATTTTTCAATTCAGAACCTCGGTTCGTGCTTCAATCTCGGTTCAAAGTTCAGCAGGAATTTTAGTGTTTTATTTCCTTCAAAGGATTATGACTTTGCTGTAAAACTTTCTTTCACCATTTTAGTTCCACAAGAATTAAAACTGTATAATACACTCAGACCTCCATATAACATCACTCAGCTAATGACTGCATACAGTCCAGGAAGATTAAGGTCTGCAACTGAACGTACAAGCACAACAGACCTTTAAACGTCACTCAGAACAACGTGTCATAATAAACAAAAAAATTTCTAAATTAACCAATCTGTGAGATGGCCAGGGGCCAAGAATGCTCCAAAACCTTGTTTGTCAGAAAAAGATGTTTATTTCAATTGACAGCTGAAAACGCGTTTTCTGACGCTAAAACCGCGTTTTCGATGACTCACCGGTTAACCGCGGTTCTCGATGACTCATATAAATATATGACTCATCGAGCACCGCGGGTAATCGATGACTCATCGAAAACGCGGTTTTAGCGTCAGAAAACGGGTTTTCGACTGCAGAACGGAAGTAACCGCGTTTTTCTAACAACACAGTTTAAGTTCACAACCGCGTGTTTTACTGTGATAAGCCGCGGTTCCAGATATCTCACCGGTTAAACGCATTACCGGATGAGTCATGTATCGTACAATGTAAATTATGGACGATATTTGGTTATGGAGCATGTTTGGACATCGGCAGTCTCATCAGCAACATATTTTCTGAAATTCTTTTTTTGATTATTAGTAGTATTCGAGTTACTCTATCACCTGTCATGCATCAACGGAGCATATGACGTTTACTGTTGACGTTGGAAGTGATTAAAGTGCGGGAAAACTAAAAGATATTCGAAAAAAGCGGAATTCGTACAAGATAGTACAGAGAGTGGCAATAGCCATTCCGTTATTTTTAACTATGTCATGCTATTGCATCTAAATTTGTGACACTTAAGTAAATTTGAATTAGAACGAAACTGATCAAATAAACCTTTCGAATTGCGGAAAAAGCGCAAAAAATCTCTTTTTTACCGATTAGTCTACACTGCGGATTCGGTGATTTATTGATATTAACCGATCGGACAACACTAAGCAATGATTCTAAACAACTACAATATGTTAACTGTTCTCTAATAACTCAGACATGCTTTTTCAAAAAGCAGATTGAAGTATGCTTCCTGTGAGACGAATCGACCTATCACTGCCAAATGATAGAAGAATTAGATCTCAAGACAGAAAAGAATATAGTTGAAATATCTTGTAGTCGAAATGAGGAATGAAAATAAACTCGATTATAAAAATATGTCGACAAAGGTTAACCCTAGTGAAACTTCTTGTAACCCATATCTTGACTTCTTGAATTTTTTCAGTAAGATCTTGATTCAAGATCTTGGTAAGAAAATATAAGAATTCAAGAAATTTCAAGAAGTCAAGATCTTG